TAGAAGGTTTAATTTTTTCCAAAGTTGATGGGTTTTCAGTGGTTGATGTGGAAGTGAAAGTAGTTTTCTGTGAGGCTTCAGGGACACTGGTGGCCTTGTTAATAGCTTCATTGCTTTCGGGTACCAAGCCTGTGTTGGCCAGTTTGGCATCACCAGTATTCCTGAGGCCCTGTCCTCCTGGATCTTCTTTAGGACGTGAGGTATGACACACTGAAAGGAGGAAACGCATAGAAATCTAATTTAGTCCAGGACATAGATAGCGCATCGATGGCGAATGCCCCAGGGTCAGGTCGATAAGACACATATGTCGCAAATTGATTATTAATGCGTGATGCAAACAAATCAATGTCCGGCGTGACCCCTAGGTCATGAAGCGCGTTGTGTAACTCAACCGGGTCTAGTTTCCGTTCATGTGTCGAGCGGTTCTCGCGCGATTCGAGATCCGCCCTCGTGTTCAGTTTCCCTGGTATGTGAGCGGCCCACTCCCACACAGACTTGCAGAGCGAGTTAAGTTTGCTGGAGTGGCTTGTTCCCATATTGTTTATCAAAGTGACTGACGTACTATTATCTATCATAAGGCGTATGTGTTTTCCCTTTTGGTTACTAAGGAATGTTTGCATTCCTAAGTAAACTGCTAATAACTCGAGATAATTTATGTGGTGAGCTTTCTCCTCAGATGACCAGAGCCCTCCAGTGGAATCGTCTTCGTACACTGCTCCCCAACCCTCATTACATGCATCAGTTGTAAGTGTGCATGCCGGGTCTGGAATGGTTATATAACCATAACAATTATGGGCGTTATCAATCCACCATTCGAGTTCAGTTAGTTTAGTGTAAGTTTAGTTTAATGAGGTTTGTCACAAAATACAACATACTAAACAAACAAAAATGCGACAGGAGGAGAAAACAGGGTTGAACCCCAATTRACATTTTCCCCCTTACAATGTAAAAAGTAGTGAAAAATACAATATAATAAACTAAATAAAATACGAGAATTATGGTGGTCGGTATAGATCTAGTTTGGCCTGATAGTGAGATTGAAGAGAGCTTTTGAACTGTAAGACACTAGTACAATGTTTGATTACATTCGACAGATTGTTCCAAAGTTTAACTGTTCGAGGAAAATAGGAGTTTGTGAAGTAGGCTTGACGGTGGGTAGATGAGAGTCTAAAGTTAGCAGGGTCATAGTTGCGAGTAGCGTAGGCTGACGTGGCAGGTAGGAGGAAGCGTTCAAAGTTCGCGCAAACTAGCCCTGTCTTAAACTTGAAGAGGAGAACAAGGTCTTGTATTTCCCTGCGAAATTCAAGCGGTAACAAATTTAACTGGGTTAGCCTGTCCTTATAGCTTATCTCCCTATCTGGGTAATTAAGAATGAATTTTGTTGCCCTACGCTGAATGTTTTCTAATAGTCCACGATGCTTAGCTGTRTAAGGTGACCAAACACTTGACGCGTACTCTAGGATTKGTCTCACTAGTGYGGTGTATAATAACAATCTAGTCTGGACATCACAGATATCTCTGCCGCAAACTCTCTTGACCAGCCCGAGGACTCTATTGCTCTTGGCGCACAGCTCAGCAATATGGTTGGTCAATGACAGTTGTCCAGAAACGGCCACGCCTAAGTCAGATGTTTCAAGGGCGTGGGGTAGAGTTTRGCCCGCGAGTTGGTAAGTATCGATGGGCCTCCGACGGGATTTTCTCTTGGACATGCGCAAAGCTTTGCATTTATTTGCATTGAATTTCATTCCGTGGTCACTGCTCCAGGCATGAAGGCCGTCCAAGTCCGCCTGTAACAAGGATGGTGAACTTGCAGAGTCAATAGGTCTGTACAATTTACTGTCGTCTGCAAACAAGGTGAGACATGAGCCATGATCGATGTAACTTGGCATACTATTAGCGTAAACCAGGAATAGCAGGGGACCCAGAATGGACCCTTGTGGCAMCCCAGAGGTCACAGGTAACCAATCAGAGAATGAACCTTCAAGAGCCACACGTTGATGTCTGTCAGACAGGTAGTTCGTAAACCAATTCATGATGGAACCTGAAATGCCGTAAAGATGGAGTTTTGACAGCAGGAGGYTATGTGGAACTTTATCGAATGCTTTTGAAAGGTCCAGATGTAATACGTCGACTTCTTTCCCACTAGCAATCATGTCCAGGATATCGTGATATACCTCCAATAGCTGGATAACCGTGGACTTTCCTTTCAGAAACCCATGCTGAAGATGGTAGAAAAAGGAAGCTAGATGGGAGTAGCAGTGATTATGGACGCACCGCTCCATCACTTTGGAGATAATACAGAGAAGTGAGATCGGACGGTAGTTCTCAGCCAGAGTTGGATCGTCCTTTTTGAAGACAGGCGAGATGTTAGCACGCTTCCATAATGCAGGAACTACTCCAAGTGACAAAGAGAGATTGAAAAGTTTGCACAAAGAGGGAGCAATTTCAACTGCAGTGTTCTTCAAAAGGGTGCCAGGGATGTCATCTGGCCTGCAGGCTTTGTTGGAATCAAGACTTAGTAAGGTGTCCCTCACTTCAGAGACTGTAAGTTGGATGCAATCGAGTGTGTCCTCGGTGTGGTTGGGGGACTGGGAACGAGGCGGACCAATAGCGTTGGCTGGGCTAAAGACAGAATGGAAAAACTTGTTAAATAAGTTTGCTTTGTCCCGGCTGTCTGTTACAAATTTCTGACCGTTTCTGAGAAAATTAGGTGAAGGTCTGTCCGAAGTGCACGAGAGTTAGTGCAGGGATTGAAAGTGTCATATGACCATCAAAATTCCCTTTGTTTTGTTTGAGCGCTTTTGTCTTGTCACTTTCGGGTGTACGATAGTGTAAGGGCCCAAATCGTGATCCAGGGAAGGAGGATATGATTGTTCCTATTACCTGTGCTGTGTTTCGCACATTAGGGCGCGT